TTATGTATGTTTTAGGTATGTATTCTTTCAAATGTGCATCCGAGTGTTTTTGTGCACCGATTTCCAAGTACATATAGTACAGGTACAGAAGATTATACCTATACATACACGTATTTTCACGTGGCACATCGGCTGAGAGATACAAATGCCCATCAATCTAAAACATTCTACGAGTACTATATATCGGCAGACGAGTCACTTTTGATTATCAAGGTTGAAACACATACTCTGCAGATTCGATTTCCAATGCCATGATCTATATTGACGAGAAGTGCGCTGAGTAACGCTTCGCAGTTTGTGAATAAGGGCAGTATCGTCGCTTACAGACTATTATTTAAATTAAAGAGGAATAAAGCAGCGCTTCAGATTGTATTTAAAATCTATTCTTACTACTTCTTACGTATCTAAGTTCCAAGTTCCAACTCTTTCTCTCGCTTTACTCTTCTCTCCTCTGTGTGCGCAAAACCCTGTGAGAAGTATTTATATAAAATTATATAAATACACAAAACTAAAAAGCCGATCGAGAGGATAAGAAGCCGGTCGCGTGGCTCTTTTTATTGTGTAGCAAATTGTTCCCATGTTGTAAACTGGGTTCTTCTTTCATACATATTTATATATGTATAAGGATTATACTGTCGTCGGTATTTAAGAATTAGTCGTAAATTGCATCGTGCTGATTTGTGATATCACTCTGTACGTAGTAGTAGCTGGTAAAATAATAAATAGTTTTGTTCGTACAAGTCTCCAAATATTTACGCCTGCATACGAATGTGTTTATAGACTAGATGTGTGCGATTCCTGTTAAGTGTGATATTTGTAGAACAGTTAAGGTACTATAGTGCACTAGTAAACAATCTTCGGTAGATCATTCGTGCCGAAATCTTGCGTGCTTTTACCACTATCAACTCAATATGGAGGACCCGACGACAGATCTGGAGAACCTTGACGCGCGAACGTGGAGAGCTTGGAAATCGCGCAAGGTAAGTTATATATTGCGAGCCTCTGTGATTATATTAATAGTGATTGTATTATCAATATTCAGTTTTATGACTTCTTCCAACACTGGCACAAGCAAAGTTTTACATGAACGATAACTCTGGTACAGATACCTGAATACCCACTAGAATCATGGGAATACGTTATGAAACGTTTTACACACTCGTACACACACACACACACACACACACACACACACACACACACACAACAACACAC